AATTAAACAGGTGAGGGGAGCATGCTGGGTGAAAGAGCTGGCTTTTCTACTGGCTCACCATGGAGCATCACAAAGGGCTTTTCTCCTGCTCTCTGCTTTCTTTTGGTTATGAAAGCCAGCCCCTACTTGGCCTATAGAGCAGCTCTCCCCAGCGGCCTTTCTCTCAGTTCTGCTCTGCCCTGTCCTGCTTGCTTCCTTTCGGCAGTGGGTATTAACTTCCCTGAGCTCTACTCATCCAAACCAGCTACTCACTGGAGAGCCATTTGGCAATGGTTCTGCTCCCAGAAGTCTCTTGCTAACGCGCTCAAACAAAATGAGGCTTCAGTTCAGTTATTGTATATACAACCTGACTTGAACCTTTTCTAGTCGGCCTTCATAAGGTTTGGTGTGTTTGTAAGTGTGCGCAGACGTTCGTGCTGGGGCTTCACCCTGCCAAGTTCCATTCTCAACACATCTCTATAGAGAAACATAAACTCCTTCCTTTCAACCAGGAGGTGGAGGCAGAGCTGGAAAAAAATGCCAAAATGGAATTTCCACTTGCTACCCGCTGTTAGCGGTGCAGATGACCTACTGGGTCCTGTGCTCTCATGGAAACTTCCAAGAAGCTGGGCAACTGCAGAAACTTATTTTCAGAGTTTAGCAAAATGTGGGCAAAGATGAGCAGCGTAGCAAAAGCCAGTGAACTAAGGCATTACTGCAGCCAGGTGTGTTGTTTGACTGCAGGTGATTTGTGTTCTCTTTGCATTTTACTTCTCTTTTCCAGTCTTTGTAATTTACTGCCTCCTCGGCTCTGCCAGCATAGCACACGTGTAGTTGCTCACCAGCCTGGTTCTGTCAAAGTGATCTAGGTTAGCTTAAACACTGTTAATAGTCAGTTCTTAAACTCAGCCAAAACATTTTGACAGAACTGGGTTAGAGAGTGATGGCAAGGATGCTGTTGTGCCAGTAAGGCAGTGATCTTGACAAGGGTGAGGGGGGACCCTACAGTGATGGGACGCTAAAGGACAACCTCTTAACTTGGCTGTACCCAAACAGTGCATCTGGCTACAGTTTAGTGAGAAAATGAAATATATAGTCTTCACTCTGTGAAGTAAGAAGGGAGGCTGCAATAATAATTATAACACATTTTTGGTAAATTTGTTAGCATAGATCAGATTAATTTGGATGTCTCGGTCTCATTCATTGTGAGCAAATGCCCTACTAGCTGCAGCAGTAGGAACAAAAGTTTAAAAGGTATGTCATCTATATCTCACTCTCCCATCATTACTTGTAGTGTCTACAGGTGAGGGCTCTGTTTTACATGGGGAGAAATGCCTCCTAAATGTGTTTCCTAGCACATAATGTCCCCTAGTAACTCCAACGACATTACTTATGACTTGCAGACATGTTGTACATCCTCATTTTTAAGTTTTAATTTTTGAAGTGCATTTGCAGCAGGGAAAAAGAGTGAAATCAAAGCTACAGAAAGGTATCCCCAAAGAGAAGATCCCATTACAAGTGTCCTGTAAGAATAATTTGTACAGATCCCTTTTGTCACAAACAGCCTTGGATTCAGATTTTGGTGTGCAAAAACTGTGTCAGGTAGAAGTTATAGTATATCTGCTTACATTTGACAGAGTATTGGGATAAATGGATAATTTTCTTCCTGTGACAACGGGCTGACCTCTCTCATTTAGGCACTCAATTACCATCAACAGTTTGAAAGCGGTATCTGGCAGGGCACAGACTGGCTCACTAGTGGCAGGGTAAAAGTCACACGCACACACATAAAAGATTTTCATACCTTGCAATTCTTCCTGGTAAGTGGGTTAGGACAAGGGATGAGAAAAAGATGGTACTTCTATTCACTGTCTCTTAACTAACATGGCAAGGATTTTTATTTCAGAGTCTTTCAGTACATCTCACTGTGGGAAACTGATTCCATAAGGGTTGCAGGACAGGTGAAATATCTCCGTGTAAACTAAGAATAACACTGAGAAATGGGGAGACCGAGAACAGAATTACTGCTGCAAGTCATGGCTGGTGAGGTATGGTGCCTAAGAATTGCTACATTAAAAACAGTTGGGGGAAAAGGAGGTTGTTTAATAGAAACCTTTTCAGTTGTTCTGGCTGTGCCTGAATCTGATGCCGATTTTCTGTTTGCGTAACGCTCCCTTAGCTGCTCTGCGTCTCAGCAGAAATAGTCATTCTTCCCAGTTGTTTGGGTCTTTGCTGATGGAGTGTGTCTCAGCTAATCTGCAGCTGCCCAGGCGATAGCATTAGCATCTTAGCAGAGTGGAAATCTGCTCAAATTACATCAGTAAGGGGGAGACGTTTCTGCCTCTACTATCTAGGATGCTCTCTTCTACTTCTTGGACCACCAATGAATAAATTGCGAATGACACCAATTTCTGTAGCACCTTACCATGTAATTTAGCTACAATTTAGCTTTGTGCATAGCACTGAAGTAAGCAGTTCTGCATCAAAACAGTGACCATAAATATTTTCTGATGGTGATTTCTGTATTACTGGGATTTCCTATTAATGTGCTGCTCTGATGCCAGGGAAGTACCCTCGTGGTGTGAGCAAGAACAGAGCATTCAGACTAAGGAAAGGTAGTGTAACTCCACTGGTGGCCGAAACTGGTATAAAACTAGGGTGAAGATTAAGAGGATGTAGACTTCAACATATATTTCACATGTGAGTCATAGTCGCATGTTGGTTTTTTGTACAGTTTACGTCTTCATTAGTCTTTCATGAAGCAAAGGTTGTTAAAGATATGGGTACTTTTCAAAGCATCTTGTGAAATTTTAGATGTGTGACTTCAATTTTAGGGGAGATTATGTGGCTAAAACCCGGCAGGAAAACGTTGCTCTTCGTGTTGCGATGCTGAACACAAAGCTAGTATTGTCAGTCTCAAAGACAGAAATGGTTTGGAGTGCATTGCTGTACTGTTCATGGGGGATTTGAGACGGATGTGATGCGAGTGCAGAGCAGCATGACTGACTGCATCATTCTTAGAACTATAAAGTCTCTTTTTACATCTTAACTTGTGGTAAACTTCAGTGACTTGTCAGAGTTGAAAACTGGGAGTAGTTACAATTTCTCTGAGTTCATTTTAATTTCTGTAAGTTTTGGAGAAAATAGGGTGATGTGGACAGGTTTAATTTAAGAGATGAAACAGATCAAGCAATTAAGTATCTGCTTGCTAATTGCAAGGTGCTAGGATTAAAATCCTAAAAGCATAGTCTGTCATTTCTGAATAATTCTGAATAATACAAATTTCACTGTATTTCTTATTGCATATAATATACATCAGCTCCATATCTCTCAGATCTTAATATTCATGTAGCAGGAAAGATAGCTTAGAAAGAATTCATGAGATCTGTAATGTGGAGATTCTGTTGTCCTTGAAGTGGGTCTCGGAAGAGTTGCTTTCATGAAAATACTACCAATAAGAAAGGATATAAAATTCACATGACTAAGAAATCATTTCAAATGCCTTTTCTAATGTTTTCAACACAGATTTTCTTTTACTTTTGTGGACATTTAGAAACAGGAGCCTTCAGTATTGTTGTCATGTCATGTGATGATTTCAGCCACAGCTCTGCCAGTCCTCACCAGGACTCAGAGAACCAAAAGGAGAAGGACAGGTTTACACCTTAATGGCATTTCCAGCTCGACTACCCCATCCTGTAAGGGGCTTAGATGTCCACAGTTCCTTTTTAGACTGCAGAGACGAGCTACTTAATTTACAGAGCAGGAGCTCAGGTTTAGCTCAGGCAGGCATTTTTCAGTCACCTATTTGAATTCTCTTTTATTCCATGCTGAATGTAATTTTGTTGATTCAGTGTGAATGGCAGCACTCCTGATCTGCACTGGCATAGAAGAGAGGGCAATTAGAGCTCCTGACTTCCTGCATTTCTTAACAGTGCTTCTGCCTTTCTTACTTCTTTCCCTGTGTTAGGTAAAAATAAACAACAGGTAATGCATGTCACTACACATGCTTTCAGCACAGGCAATGTGTTTTGTAATTCTCTTCAACACTTCAAAACCTTGGGAAACAGAGAAACGGCGTATTTCTCCTTTTGGTTCCCTTGCTTGACATGCCAAGGACCGTAGTTAACTCTGAAATAGCCTGTAAGGCAGGATATGAATGGATTGATTGGTTTAAAACATGGATGAGTTTAATGATAAGTGGTTGTCTGGATTTGTGACTCCTGGTAGTGCGTGTGTTTTCTCTGCGACAGCAACCATGGCCATACCGGGTCAGGCTGTATCAAAGGCCCATCTTTGGTCATCACTGACTTTTTTCACACCTTTTTTTTTAGTTTTATCTCCATTTTTAGATGAGGAAGCCTGAAGAGCCCACAGGATTCAAGGTATAGGGCTCACCAGGGTTATACAATATGTTGCAGCCTTCCAGTACCTGAAAGGGCTACAAGGAAGCTGGGGGGGACTTTTTACAAGGGCCTGTAGTGACAGGACAAGGGGTAACAGGTTTAA